TCCTCCTGTCTCACCCTCCCAAGTGCTGGGAATACAGGCATGCGCCACCACACCCGGCTTTCTCTGTCTTTCTAATACTCCAAAATCCCTCAACACCATGGGACCTCTTAGGTGTTTTAATGACACAAAGATAACAGTAACATTTTTTTAATTTGTCCTAAAATGAAATTCTAACAACTCCAAGTGACTGAACATATTGTTTTCTTACTATCAACTTTATGCATCAACTCCTGCCTTCAAGTCACCATCAAGAGGAATTCAAAATAACATCTGCAGTAGACGTGCTATAAGGCCTGTAATTTCCCATAGATATATTTTTTTCTATTTCTGATATAAAGAAGTAACTTTTCCAATTATGATTTTCAACAGCTGATTCATTAGGGTACATTTTACCTTGAGTAAAATCTTCACTTTTTTTCAGTATACAAAATCAAATACAGTGGCAATAGCACCATCACAAATGAAAACTTAGATGAAAACCAGCTTCCTCAACATAGAGCTCTAACACTGAGCTATTTAAAGTGAAATGGTACTCACTTACTTAACCATATACTTTATAGTCAAAAGCAAAGGAGTGTTAATTCCCCATTTCCTCTATAAAGAATCTTCAAACAAAAAATGGGATCAGTTAAAAATACCCGGATACCACAGAAGAGATAGGGAAATCATTTAAAAGCCCAGTTGGTAGGAATAATTACAAACTTACCTCAAGTTGACCTCCCCATGCAGCTGTGTTTACAATATCATCACAGTATTTTCCAAACTCTTCTATAGGGAACACATCAGAAGACAGCACTTAATTTTCTTAACTCTTCTTACAAGATCCATTTTATAGCCCCCCCACAATTACTGATGAAAATACCCAAAAGTCATGCACATCTTCTCTTCTCTATCACTTCCCTCCACAATTTAATGTCCTTCCCAGATTCAGACATAATTCACCCAACTTTCCATCACCCTTTCATCCAAAGCCAAATCATTTGTCTCTTCCTCAGCCGGAGGCCCATACATAACAAACCTATATTTTTGTCTTCGCCTAATGTGATCACCCTCAAAACAGCCACCATATTTACCATCTTGACATGTGTTTTGAAGCCCAAACTGGTACCCAAAAAAATAATGAGAAAGACTAATTATATGTACTTCTATATAATATCTGTGTTAGCCAAGAAAAGATTTTTCAGAACATCCCTGAAAGAAGTAAAAAGAGCTATTCTCTGAGTTTAAAATGGGGATATTTTATTCATATGTCTTTTTTAACAGCGTGTTAAAATGAGCCACAGACATCCTTCTTGTCCAGAGAGAGAACAAGAAACTATAGGCACCAAAAGACAAATATGTACCATATATTTATCTCATTCACTATTAAATCCTTGGTGTTCAGAACAGTGCTTGGAATACTGCACAGACACACAATGGCTTTCAGTAAATACTGACTGAAGATAATTAAGTGTTTTGTATTTTTCTCTGATTCAGCATAATGAACTGCTACCGCCTCTCAAATTCTATACAACTACCAAAGCCAGGGAGTTTCGATGATTTAGTAATCAAGCTGGAGATGAAGTACAGAAGAGCTATTTATCAAGTTATTTCTGTGTATATCAAAATGTATGGAAGTATGTATTTCATGTCTCATAGCAAATTCTGGTTATTTAAAAAATGTCAATAACCTAAAACAGCAAAAGATACATTAACATTACCATATGACATAAATGGGAAATTAGCTGACTACAGGATTAGATACATCTATAACTATACCTAGCAAGAGATACCTTTAAACTATGCTCACCAAAGAGACCTAATCAACTGTCAGGGATCATTCCTATCTGTTTAGCGTTAGGCTCCACTTTCTTCAATAGAGGGAAGACTCCATTAAAGGAAAGTCAAACTTAACCACCTCATCCTGGCCATAAGACTTGCTCCCCAATAGATACCGCCAAATCTGTCTTTTCTCAAAGTCAAACTTTCCTCTACTCTTTATTCCCCAGAAATCCTTTTAGATTTTTATTTGCTCTACCCCTCATTTGCTAGTTGTATTTTTTTAGTTTATTATAATATTTTTTCTTGCGGTGGAGGATTTAGCTCAGTGACACCATGCCTGCCTCGCAAGCAAGTTTCTGAGTTCAGTTTCCAGTACCAAAAAAGAAATTTAACTTAAACACCAAAAGTATTGGAGGGAATAAGGTGAGCCTTAATTCATTTCGTTTTATAATATCAAATTTTACCCAAATAATAATTTTCCTAGTTTCAACTTATTAAGAATAACATTAAATCTTCTGAAGTTCAGGATAAAAGAAATTAGTTTTCATAATCATTCTCTGCTTGTAGTCTTCCAGAGACTGGTCAAAGGTTACCTGCCTTTATGGTTAATCTTGTTAATCTCAAATTTAATAAAATTGTTTCAGTACTCATTAACCCCACTCTTTATTTTTACCTTATATAAAATAATTAGTTTTAACTAAAGAATGGTTAAATGCTTAACAGACCTAACTAAAGTAAAACGTGCCAGCATCAAATTCAAATTATAAAATAATTCTAACTAAATTTTGTGATAATTTTATCTCGCAACAGTTATATGGGTTCTTCTTGTACACAGTACCAGTATGCACCTTATTTTAAAACAACCACAACCACTAACAAAATGTAGTTTTAAAAAATTTACCTGGGGTATACATATCTCCTGTATGAGGGTTTGTTAAAAATGGCAAAAAGTCTTCCACGTGGCTTTGCATATATTCAGCCGTTTGACTTCGTAAGGCAGCCACAGTCAGAGCACAGTCCTGTTCTTTCAGTTGATCCTCAATGGCTTTATACATACAGTGGCCGTCAGATGGAATCTGTTTAATTTCTAACTCTCTGGCTGCCAATATTTGAGCAAGTTTTTCATTTTCTATATGTCTAGCTCCAGAAAGGTTCTCAATTTCAGCTTCAGCTATTCTCTCTTCCCGCTCCTTTTCCAATGCAGCTTTTTTTTCCTAAGATGAGAATGGCAGAGAGTTATTCATGATAATTGGGATTCACTCCCATTTATTGAGGGGATGGATATACAAGATTCTCAAAATGTTTTGTCATTATTCTCCCTTCTCCCATAAGAATTATTAAACTGATTATCTCATTACTTAGAGAATTTTCTATACTATATTTTGGGCAAACAATTTTATCCATCTGATCTGTGTGTTCCTAGCACCTATATCTGTACTGAGAAATAAGAAAACCTTTCCTCCTAAGTCTACTTAAAACTACCTGTCAAGCACTTGAGAGGCTGAGACAGGAGGATCACCATGAGTTCAAGGCCAGCCTGGGCTATAGAAAGAAGTTATGCCTAGTCTAAACTACAGTGAGATCCTGGCTCAAAACCAAAGAAACAAACAAAAACTTCCTGTCAAATTTCTTCTCTTGTCAATTTCAGAATATTGCCTTAAGACTAAGTTGTCTTAACCCTTACTCATATTATCATATTTAAGCCCAGGTAAGTCCAAGTTTTACTTATCATTCCATCATATTTGATACTAATATACTAAAGCCTTTAGAGTGCATAGGCAGACATTCTTTTATCTAGCTTTAAAAAGAAAGTGTGTATATATACCTATACATATATATTTAATAAAGTAATGGTAAAAATATTATTCTACACAAACAATTAAAACAAACAGACCAAAGTTTCCCTTAAGTACTAATGCCAATCCATAGTGCTCTCTCCAGGTTTGGTGTGTATCATTCCAGATTGTTTTTCTATGCATTTTATTTATTTATTTATTTATTTTGGTACTGGGGATTGAACTCTGGCCCTTGTGCTTGCAATGAAGGCGACAAAACCACTGAGCTAAATCCCCAGCCCATATGCATTTTAATAAATATAGTTTACTCACAGAAAATATATGATACCTGTGTTATAACAAAAATGGCATCACATATTACATTCTACAATTTGCTTTCCTTACTCAAAATCTTAAGATTTCTCCCCATGGTAGCAAATGTAAGGGTGGGCTGAGTGAAGTAAATGAGACATCTGTCATATGAGTGGAGAGGAAGGTTAGGGGAGAAGGAAAAGACCCTGACAGCTAAAGAACTAATGAACATAAGCTAGAGAGAGCACCATATTTTAGCACAGCTAAAAATAATTTCCAGAACTAGAATGCCAGAAAAAGTGTCAAGATAAGAAGTTGGGAGCTAAAAAGATAAGTACATGATTAATACAAAGCCTATGCTTACACAGCATCAAAAGAAGAGAAAGACAAAACACAAAACATAAGCATGTGATTAATATAAATTCTTATTAGATTCCTTTGCCTTAAGATGGCTGCCATATGGAGTAGCAGCCTCCATGTTGAAATATGGCTTCTCCCAACACAGACAGGCTTCCTCCCATCATGCCTTTTCTCCCGCCAAAAAAGTAACTGATACTTGCTACCTCCTAGCAGCTAGTGATGTCAGAAGCCCCTCCTAATGATGTCACAGGCTCCTCCAATCTCTTAATACTACTTCACGCAACTCTACCCCAGCTCAGGCTAACTTCACACCACTCCTGCAACAGAAGCTCCCTGTTCTGCCAAGTCGCTCTCTCTTCTTTGTTGGAGGCAGCTCAGCAGATCCCCATAATAAAGGCCTGTTATGGTCCTGGTTTTCAGCTCTTTTTACCTAACAATTCTATGCTTATATAACATTAAAAAAAGACTAGAAAGATAATACACAAAATCTATTTTCTGGATAGAATTGTAACATACACTGTGTCTCTCTGTCTGGGTGCTTTTCCGTATCTTTCTGATTCTCTACCATGACTATGCTTTATTTGTATACTCAGGGAGGAAACTGACTTTCAATTTAAGAGAATAAAATGTTAGACTAAATTCTAAAAATCTTATTATAAGTAATAAATTACAGTGAAGGAGAGAGTAAACCAAGAGCAGAAAAAGGGAGACTTTCAAGTCCCTCAAGGAAGTAAATAGGAAGGCAAACTTCAATTAAACTTATTGCCACATACTCATAGGGGATGTGTGTTATATGCCATATTAGACAAACTTGAACTAATTCCTAAGTTACCTAAAACAAAAGCAGCAATATCTCTTTCACAAAAAAATAAGCTTGTTTAGGATTTTCCTTCCACATTTAAGGATAGAAGCAGCAGGAACAAATTTATTTCACTGTATATCTACAACTTTGGATCTCAGAGGTATGAATAAAATCTTAAAACACAAGATGGCACTATTACTTTATAAAAGACTAACAGTTTCAGAGGGGAGAGGAAAAATAAGCACCTTAGACACACCATCTAATCCAAAACCCCTCATTTTCCTCTTCTGAGGAAACAGCACGCAGAAACATTTTCAAAGGCCATACAGCTGGTTAGAGCAGAGCAGGGACCCAGGACAACACAGAGAGCTCCTTCTATCCAGGCACCTGAATCAGAATAAAAGTTGGAGCAGATGGCAGCTGGAATTAATGATGCTATTCTATTCTATATGCAAACTCTTTAAGACTCAAAAATACTAATTTAAGTCATTTCATTTATTTTCCCTCATGCTTTGCTTCAGCATCATGTGGCAAATGAGTTTCCCTCCTAGCATACTAGTTGGGAAATTCACTGGATTCTTTTCTGTGCAATGTACAGTGTCCCAGTAGCACTTTGTTTTCTACCATAGTACTGGAGATAGAATGAGACCAACAATGTCTAATGAAAATGTATAAAAAAGAAATAACAGCCTGGAACTCATAAATATATTGTTGGTAAACACAGCATATTGATAAAGTAAAACAGCAAAAGCACTCAGCTTCCCAGGTGCTGGGTGCCTATCATTTAACACTCAACAAGTTTTCCCTTCACTGAATTTCTACTGTAATTAACCATTATGTACCTAATATATATATTATATATTATATACCTAGAGAATTCTCTAAGAATCTGGCATACTTATACTTCTTTGAATATTTGCTTGTTTAAAAACTTCTAGGTTCAAACCCTTATTTCATTACTCAGAACCATAGTTTTAACAATGGTTACACATCAGATAGCAGATTCACCTGAGCCATATTCTAGACTGTAAATTAAGTCTATGACAGCATATTTGTTTTAAAAAAATTCATTTGCACTCCCCAGGCCAAACTTCCTATGAGAACTATACACTGGACATCTTATAGTGCCTTAGATCTATTATCTTCTCTGTAAAATTGGGATTAAAAATAATCCTACTTCCCAGAACTAAATGAGATTTCATATTGCACACAAACAGCTTAGCACAGTATCTGGTACATATCAAGTACTTAATTAATGTTAGTTCAGGTCCTTTTACAAAGAATTCCATCATTTTTTTTTCCCTATTCCCTCTTTATAGAACACCTAAGATTTCACTGAAGCCAGGCCTGGTGGCACAGCTATGTAATCCCAGGACTCTGCGAGGCTGTGCAGGAGGGTCTGAAATTGGAGCCCAGCTTGGGCAACCTAGTGAAACCCTATCCCAAAATAAAAAATTAAAAATGGGCTGGTAGGCTGGGGATTTAGCTCAGTGGTTCTACCGCCTGCCTCATAAGCACAAGGACCTGAGTTGGATACCCGGTATCAAAAAAAAAGCGGGGGGGAAGGGCTGGAGATGTAGCTCAGTGTAAAGACCCCAAGTTCAATCCCCACTACCACACACACACACACACACACACACAAACACACACACACAATAGTATTGTACACAAAACAAACTTAAATATTTGGTGACATGACTTTCATACCCGTCTCTTTTGTGCTTTTGATATCCTAGGAGGCTGATTCTCAAGTACCAAGTCTGCAATGTTAACAGCAACAGAATCTATCTAAAGGAAACAAAAAGCATCAAGTCAACAAAAAATATTTTGATATTACTATTGAAAGCATTAGGTTACTAAATTATTGTTGAAAATCACAAGTACATTCACCCTCACATTTCAATTTAGGTAACAGCACCAGACATCATAATAGATAGTACGGGTTTGTCTCCTTTCTCTACTTTTATGAGACAATCTGTCAGATTCCCAAGAAGTTTCCCTGTAACTCTTTGAAGATAATGCTCATTTCTGCAAATCCTTCTTCCCTCTCAGAAGACCTACTCCATTGACAGGAAGTACCTTACTTCCTATATGATTGCCAATTCATTCAGGACTATACTCTTCCTACCTCTGAATGCTGATAGCCCACATAAAACATAGGTCCTGTGCTGGCTCAGTTCATTACTAACGGAATCACCTTAAAGTTGGCAGCAGAGACTCTTTTCCATCCTGTGAAAACTTGATAAGCACTGATCCTTGAACTTTTCTTATCTTGTCCTATCTATGAACTGATTAACTGGAGGCAGAAAATAAATTTATGGTATTATTAGATAGTACAACAAATCCTGAAACTCAAATGCTATTATATTTGCTGAGGTAAGAAAACAGGACACTAGACCTCTATTAGGATAAATAGTATTTTATTACTGTAAGTTAAACTAGTTGTTAGTAGGATACATAAAACAACTTAAGCCCTCTAATACATAAAGACAGTAGTGTTCAAAGGCTGATCAAAATATCAAAATCAGACAAAGACTTCAAAGAACAGTTATCACTGTTACTCAAACTAGAAATCTTGACTTTTTTCAGAGGATTCTGCTAAAATTCACATACTGATGACAGGTAAAATACAAAGATGTATTTGAAAAACAAAAAAGCAAAGAAATAAAAATTTAGGTAGAGTTAGAAAAATTTTAAGTAAATTTTAAGTTAATTTTTAAGGTAAAAGTTCAAAGTAGAATAGGAGTATTTCAACAGTTAGAAAATCTGTAATTTCTAGAATCAAACATTTTTGTCCTTGGAAATCTAGAAAAAGAATCTTGAAATTGAAAGTCTTAGAGAGCAAACAAAACTATCTGGCTAATAGAAAAGAGGAAGAGGCAATTAGGAATATCACAATTATAACAATTAAAACACCTCAAGAAGGGTGCTTTGTTTTCCATAGCTACAGCATATCCTTACCTTTAGGGTAAGGAAGGCCAGTACCTTGACTGCTGGTTAATAAATATTGATTAAAATGATAAAATCATGCTCCCATTTAGCAAAAAAAAAAAAAAAATCTGTAAAATTTTGTTCATTACAACTTGCTTCATGAGCAATTTGTAATAAATTAATATATAATTTTAAAATGATTTTACATTTGTTGTCCCATTTGACCTTTATAAGAACCTGTGGTTAAACAGCAAAAGTATTCATGTCATCACATTATATGTGGGTAAATTTATGCTCAGATGGATTAAGTAACTTTACCAAGGTTGCAATTCTAATCAGTGATAATTCTGGCCTCAGAAGTCTGGTCTTCCGAATTTCACTTGAAGCTTCCTATGGTACACTTTATCAACTTGTTCATCTTTTAGTCAAGTGAACAGTTAAAGAAGGTAATGGATGAGCATAACTAAATGGCTTGGGTATTTCCTTATCAATTTTATGATTTATATAATCAATTTAACAGAAGAGGACAGTCGTTTTCAAATGCTGTAGTCAAGATAAATACTTCACATACTTTATTCTCCTTGGCAAACAGCTTCAGTTGCTCCAGTTCCTCTCTGTGTTTCTGTTCCATTTCTTTTTCCAACTTTGCAACATCCTCAGTGAGCTGCTTCCTTCTCTTTTTGTCATTCTTGGGAACAGCATTCTTCATACTCTGAATTTTGGCTAAAGAGTCACCCAAATTATTAAGTCAGAAACTCAAGAATAAGAGGAAATAGGAAACAGGAGCAATAAGAGGACAGAAAGGGGAGAGAGAGGGTATAGAAAAAATAATCGGGGAAGCAAGAAGTCATCACATCAACAGCTACAAAGAGCTCAGGTGAAGCTTTTGAGACCAAACAAAATAAAACAAAACTCATTCAATAAAACCTTGAATTTGATTGGTCAGGAGGAAGAAAGTGAAAACAATGATGTAAAGCAAGTTTCAACCTTTCAAATATCCTTTCTCAGTCCTCCAAACTGGTGTGGTGATTCAAAAGCCACCCACTAGGGCCAAGCGTCTCTAACTGGGGCAGGAATGGGAAGAAAAGGAAAGGAGAGTCCGAAAAGGGAAAGGAGGCAGATGTGGAAAGAGGAGGCAGAAGGACGCTGGGAGGGGACCAATCACGGTCCAGAACTTGGATTCGCTGCAGGCCTCTGAGGCAGCCTGCGGAGGCTGCGGGTAGAGGGGCCGCCTGAGTGGTGAGGACCGGCGAGAAGAGAATATCTGTCTCTTTGGGAAAGTCTGACAGCATCCCGGCCGTTCTCCCTTCAAGATTCCCCCAAACCAACTCGCTCGCGCCCTTCCCTGGGTCTGAACGACTTCTAGATTCCCACTTCCTTCCCTGTCACCTTGTAACTCCTTCTTCTCCTTGCGATGCCTTCTCACCAGCTGCTCCTCTTCATCTAGCTCTTCGGTCAGGACCGCCTCCATAGCGACCAGGTCGCTTGACACACAAGCTAGAATTACCCTGCAACCAGGGCTGGCCGGCACCTGGCTCGTCTCAAGCCTCAGCCGGGGCGCTATTGGCCGCCGCTGGGATTTAGCCCCGCCTTCAAGGCAGCGCCGGATGTAAGTCAAGCCAATTGAAAAATTAGAAAACTGACTAGAATTCTGCGCGTGCGCATTCCGTGATCGCTCCCTACCGATGGAGGGGGCGCCCAGGGTGGAAGCGCGGGTGTGTGGACTGGATTCAGTGTGCCAGTGCCAGATTAATATGCTAGAGCCCCGCCTCAGACAAGATGCGCGCTGTGCTATTGGCCCTGACTAGAGGCGCGCAGAGATGATGTAAGCGCTCATTTGGTAGTTCTTCAACTTCGTTGCTTTGGAGGAATGGTTGGACCCCATTGCGAAGAGCTGTTGAAAAGGTAAGAACAAAATATACGATTTTAATAAAACCATGAAATATAATCAGTGGGAAGCTTTAGACTGCATCAATAATACCATACGGAATTATGGTTCTGTTTGTTTTGAAGGTCGTTAAGACTACAGTTCATTCAGAAGAAAGAAATAGAGCTAAATTAATCGAGAAAATGCCTCCTCCTGATACTGTTGTACAGAACTACCGTAGTCTACCGATCTACAGCAGACCTGCGGAAATTACTGACCGTAGTAATAGAGAGTTCCTTACCCACCTGGCCTTAGTTGAAAGCAGGTGTTGTGTGACCACATGGAAGAGATCGAGGCCTGTTTAAAAGAAGCACAGAAGGGTATGTTACAACATAAAGTTTCTCAAGTAAAATGAAAAATAGAAGAAATTCTCATAGAATTAAGAGGAAAAGGCCGAAGAAATTAAGACGAGGAAAGAAGAGAAAAAGCGAGACGTACAGGGCTTGTCCAGGAAATACAATCTGCATGTAATGGGAATACCTGAAACAGAGTACGAAGCAAGTGAAGCTGAAACAATAATTCCGGAACTTATTGAAGAAAATTTTCCAGAGTTGAAGAACGAAGTAGACCTGAAAACGAAGAAGCCTCACAGTGTATCTTTAAAATTTAATGAGAAGAAAGCAACATGTAGGCATAGCTTCGTCACTTTTAAATTTCAAGCATAAAGAAAAAATTTTGCAAGTATCGAGAGAAAGGTTACATATAAAGCGGGGAAAGTCAGACTGACCTCAGATTTTTCTCTTACAATTCTAAATACCAGAAGACAATGGAACAACATTTACAGAGTTTTAAAGGAAAATAATTTTGAACCAAGAATTATATACCCTTCCAAGTTAGTATTTGTGTATGAAGACAACTGGAAGATATTCTCAGATACTAAGGGGTTAAGAAAGTATATCGACAAAGAACCTTCTCTGAAAATGTTGCTGAATGATTTACTGCTGCCAACAAAAATATTACATAAAATAGGGATATAGTTGTATGGAAGATATAATGACTAAAACTAGTTAAGGCTATGAAGTCTAAAATTGTTACATATAGGGTAGTAAACCTAAATGCTAAATGGATTTGTAAGCTGGATCTAAAATTTTCAGTTTATTTAGTTTTAAACTATCAAAGTGCATACCAAATATTCAATGTCAATAAATAATACTGTTTTATTTTTATATTTTAGTTTTGGTTCTGGGGATCACACTCAAGACCTTGCGCTTGCAGGGCAGGCACAGTGCCACTGAGCTAAATCTCTGGCCCAATACTATTTTATGTTTTTCCATGTAATATAAAGATGGATGTTAAGTCAAATGTATGTTAAATAGAAGTGCTTTGTCACTGTGGCCAAGACAGGTATAGAAAAAACATTCTAAATGTTAATCTGACAAAATTGGAAGTGATAGTTTTTTAATTCCTTAAAAAATAACAAATTCATAATGTTAATACTAATAATGTAAGAAGAAAATTTCCAAAGCACTTGTTGCGGGTGGATATGTTTGAAATACTGACTGAGAAAATCAGTAATTACTGCAACAGTGGTTTGTAGAAGCCAATTTGTCATTAAGTTGTGAGCAGAAATAGATTACATACATTCCGGGTTTCTGGAATTGAAAAACAAAGAAAATGTAACAAAAGAAAATAAAGTTTTCATAGTAGAACTTTTTTTTTAGGGATTCATGTAACACGGGACTTTCACTTCATTTAAAAAATCCAGATTTTTTACTTTGGTCAGTATAGCTATCAGTAGGAAAAAGAAAATTTTAATTGTGATATTTTGTCAAGGCTTGAAAGCCTCAAGACATGTAATTATGGTATTGCTTTTCTTCTAGCATTTTTATTAAACTGAAATTAGGTTATTAGTTGTGCCTGTTTTGAGTAAAAAAAGTAAGTAGACTTAAGAATAAAAAGCCCTGGAAGGACCAGGGATTCAGCTCAGTGGCACAATGTCTGCTTTGCAAACATAGGGTCCTGAGTTGAATCCACAGCACAGCAAAAAAATATAAATAAATAAATAAAAGCCCTGGAAAAGAGGAAAAATAAACCACATCAAAGAGTATCAACATTTTACTAGTTTTTAAAAAGAAAAATTTATAAACACAAGCTACAAATTATAATATATTTCTTGTTAAAGGCAAGCTGTAAGTTGTCAAATAGAAAAAGTGAAGATTGTCACTACTTTCAACAGTATTAAAAGTTTCCATTATAATCATTTGTCCACTTAATATTGTTCTTAAACATCTTCAGATAATTCCTCTTTTATCCATGTATAGTAGTTACTTTTTTTGTTTGTTTGTTTTTTGAAACGGTCTCACTATGTAGTTGAGACTGACCTGGAGCTCACTATGGAGCCCAGGCTGGTCTCAAACTCATAGCAATCCTCCTGCCTCAGCCTCCTGAGTGCTGGGATTACAGGCGTGCACCACCATGCCCGGCCGTTACTTTTTTCGTTTACTATTTATCTTTAAAATAGTACTTGAAAATATTTAGACTGACCTGGCTCACTATGGAGCCCAGGCTGGTCTCAAACTCATAGCAATCCTCCTGCCTCAGCCTCCTGAGTGCTGGGATTACAGGCGTGCACCACCATGCCCGGCCGTTACTTTTTTCGTTTACTATTTATCTTTAAAATAGTACTTGAAAATATTTTTTCATAGTATTGTTAGTTTTAACACTACTAATTATTTTTAAATAAAGTGTTTTTAGTAATTTTGTTACATTTCTTTTCCCAATCCCAGGCCCCAGATGTGACCACTATTAGTACATCCATTTATTAATACTATAATAGAAGTAACAACAGCTTGATCCTTAGTGGCTACATTAGTTTGCTTGGCATGCAGAAACAAAATAGCAAAAATTGAGTGGTTTAAAATAAAGCAATTGCATTGTTTGGCAGCCAAAGTAATCAAGATATTGTCAAGGCTGTGCTCGCTCTGAAAGGACTAGGGGATCTAAGATTTAGCATTTCTTCTGCTTTAGATTTTATTGGCTCTTTTGTTTCTAGGTGAAAATTGTGACTAGTAACTTAAGACCTTACTTCTTTGTAATATAAGAAGTTTCATAGTATAATTTTTATTGGTCAAGATTATCCCACAAATGTTGATATGTGTTTACAGTTTTTTAATTCAACATACTTTATAATTTATCTTGATTCCTTTAACACGAGTCATTTAGAATGTGGCATTGTTTAAAGGTAAATATGTTTTACCTATTTTCTAGATTTTAGTTCCAAAAAGTAGAGTTCTTGTGAACACTTCAGCCAGCCTGATGGTGTATGATCCAAACCAAGAAATTATCTATTTTTGTAAGCATTTATTTTGTGTTTATGGGACAATTCTATTTACCATGTGTAGAATTGTGTAACCATCACCAAAATCAGGGCACATAGCCATTTCATCACCTGAAAGCGTATATCCTGACAGGGGTGCTTAGCCCTGAATGTATGTGATCTCAAGACTGAGGACACCAAGATGAGAGGTTTACAGGGACATTGTGCTATACTAGATATCTGGAGCCATTTTCCTAAACCTGTGATCACCTAGATTCCAGAGAATGGAGAAAGCCCATATGACTGAGACCACCACAGATAAACAATCCTTTTCTGGAAATGAAACCATTCCTCAGCCATAAAGATTCCAGAACTACAGGACTAACGTAATGAGCAACCGGACCCCAGCCACCTGCTAATCCTTGAAAACTGTCCACTTACTTTTACCAGTGGGCCAGTCTGAGCCCTATCATCGAGTGCCTCTTCCACCAATCTAAGCTGGAGTCCTTTCATATTTTCTAACTTTCCAGTTAAACCCCCCTCAACTATGTGGTTTTTTGTTTTGTTTTTTTTTTTCCATTGAGTTTATTGGTACTTTTTAGGTATACAGTACAGTTACATTCATCATTGGGATCTTGTACCTTTACAGGACAGATCTTTGTTCTCTTTTTTTCCCCATATCCCCCCATGATTTTAATATCTTTCTACTAAAGCAAGGACCCAGGCTAGCCAGAGAGACAACTTTAGTAAATGTAAAGTTCCATTAATATTACCAGATTAAAAAGCTATTTATTTCAAGAAGTAGCTGAATTAAAGTTTACTATAAGAAGTATTAAAGTAGTGCATGAAATTCTTACAATAATTATGTTTTTAAAGTTTAATTAAAAATGAAATTGCTTCAAAATTGTAATGCAGACTTTTAAAAATATTAAAAATCTGTAAAACTAGAGGTGAAAAAGTATTATATATAAGCAAATAGAATTATAAAAACTTTTTCAAAATTTGTGTTTTTAGCTGAGCGTGGTGTACATATCGGTAATTACAGTGTTGTGGAGACTGAGGCAGGAGGATCACTGCAAGCTCAAAGTCAGAATGGGCTACACAGTAAGTTTAAGGGTATTTAAGATAGCAAGACCTTGCCTTAAAAAAAAAAAAAAAAAGTATTTTAGTAGAGAGAAGAATCTTGCCAGTAGTTATTAGTACAGCCCCAAATAAATGCTTGAGGGAACAAGTAAAAACTTGTGGAATACTAATGCCAGTCCAGCATATGTGAGCCATTTCTTTTTTTCTTAATGATTTTGTGTTGAAAATAATGTTGGACTTTTAAAAAATAAAAATTAACACATTCACAAGAACAAAGAGAGATAGCTTAGATAAATGATCAGATGCAAATAACCTTGGGGAAGGGGGAAAAGAGGAATGATACTGGAGAACTGAGACATGATCAAAGTGAACAGACTAATTTTCAGATTCAAAAGCAGATCATCCTGAAAGAATTGAAAAAGACTGACAGACTGTGACTATAAATACATTGATTAAGAATTTACTTCCATCTGTTTAAGATTATATTTCCAGTTATGCTATCTCTAGATAAGGAGGTAAGTCATGTTTAAGTCACATAGTCATGTTTTAAGTCATGTTTAAGAGGACTTGGGCTCAGTTGGGATTCTAATTGGAATTCCAGTTCTAGCACTTATGGCTAGTAGCACAGTGAGCGTTTACTCAGACACCTCACAGTTTCAGTGTCTACCTCAACAAAATGTGTAGAAAAGTAGTACCTGTTTCAAGGATAAATGGATTTCTGCAGCTGACAGTGCAGGACTTTCTTGAATTTAAGCCAACTTGACAACAACCTATGAAGCCCTTGCAGGCCTTTTCTCCTCGGGGGGTTAGATCCCTGTCTGATTATTCACTTCCAATGCCACCTGCTGAAATACTGCTCTTTTAATAATTTCATTTCTTCCTAGATTTCCTTGCTGCTGTACTTTACCTGCAAGATAGGATGCTTTGGGTTACTGAGAGGATATGAAACAACCTCAGTTTGCCTTGGCCACGTGGACCATGCCAACCTACCTCTGCAGGAGCCTGCCCTCTGCTCATAACATTTTGCCAGCTCATTCTTACTAGCTTCTGATACCCTGCCTTTGCTTTGCAAACTTATCAGTATTTCTCGGCTTCCTCAAAACCAAGTCAGCCTGAGTTATAGTTGAGAAAACACGGGGATGTTTCGTAAGGTAAGATATTGAGGGTTGGATGTTATGTGGCTCAACGGTATTATGTGTCCTACTTATTGCGCTGGTTTACTGTGAAGTGGGAGTCTATATACAAAGTATATTTTAAACTATAAATTGTAAAATTATGATAGTGAGGAGAAATTCCTGTTTTGTTTCCAGTTCTCTCTGGCCTTTCCAGTCATAACTTTTTTTTTCCCCTGGTACGGGGGATTAAACCCAGGTCCTTGTACTTGCAAGGCAGGTGGTGGAACCACTGAGCTAAATCCCTGGCCCAACTTTCTAGTCATATCTTTTTTTTTCCTCCCTGATGTGGCTACATCACTGTATTTCTTCTCTCATTTTCTTAGTCCTTTATCCTCTTTCTTATCTTCTATTCATGCTACTCCCTCCCTCTTTTACATCAAATTATAGTTTCCAGTAGGTCCCTCCTCTCTGGGAGCTCAGTGCCTTTCAGAGACCAGCTGTCATCCTAGTTGCCATCCTCTCCCTGGCATGTGATGGGATGGGACTAGAAGTCGAGGCTTGGGATATAGTAAGTGTTAACATACAATGGGTTAAGTACAAATATAAAAAGGAGCAAAACTGATCTTTATATGTTGATGCGAAAAGATCTCCCAAAACAGATAATTAGGTAAAAACAAGATACAGAAAAAATACGCAGATATCTAATTTACGTAAAAAGAATACAGAAGGAAGCGTATAGTAAAATAGTAAACAAATGGACACCTTTAAAGAGTCCTGAATATTTTACCTAGATATTTCACTTTTTTTTTTTTTGTAATGGGGATCGAACTCAGGACCTTGCACTTGCAAGGCAGTGTGGTGCCACTGTGCTAAATCCCCAGCTGATATTTCACTTTTACTAATAGAAATTATATACTAAAAAAATTAATTTTGTATAATTATTACAAATTAGTTTCTACAAATTTTTCTTTTTTTCCAGTGGCAAGAATTGAACCCAAGGCCTTGTGCACGATAAGCAAGCACTTTATCACTGAATTCATTCCCCAGCCCACTGCTGCAACAAATTTAATGGCAAAATGGAAATTTAGGTGGTGTCACTAGACCTGGAGGCGGGGCTGCGTTCGCCCTGTGCTCTTTCTGGGTTTGGGGCAGGTGCAGCTTGCCCCGTGCTGGACTGGGGCCTGTGGGAGTTGAGCCTGGTCTCGCCTGCTTACCCCTAGCTTCTGGCTGGCTTAAGGCAGCGTATTTTCCTGTCCCGAACTTGGCAACCTACATGGCGCTTTCTGCGGGGGTGGTTCCAGGTCTGTATCTGCCAGGAGAACCGCTCCCAGAGAGGTCAAGCTCTGCCGTGTAGCACAGGGCAGAATGGCGAGCCCCCTCATTGTGTCCCTGTCCTCTTCCCAAGGAGGCTTTTGTCATGTGGCCGCCGTGTATTTTGTTTGTTCAGCGCAGAATGTGCCAGGGAGCCATACTGGCCAGGGCAGGCTTTGGGCCGAGGCGGATGCACACCTCTGTCCCCACACGCGGTGCCACAGTAACAGCGCCTGCGCCTTTCAGCACCCTAGTGGGCACGTCACTTGACTCCAACTCTGCACGGCGCTGAGCTTTGTGGACGCTAAGGTTTTGATTTCCATTTCAGTTCATAAATTATTTTGAAGTCTCATTGTATCCTGGAGAGCGGGTGATGAGTGACGAATGGAGAAGGTGGATTTGCAGCAGGCTCAGTGTTCCAAGGGGCCCAAGGCTCCGTCCAGCTCGGTGACAGCAGTCACACCACAGGCCCTGGAGTTTCCTTAGAACTGTGACATTGCAAGTGTACTGCTTTCCCTGATGGAAGAAAGAGCCTTTTGGGGTTTTGTCTTATTTTATTTTCCCTTAACTTCCCCAATCCTGGAAGCTGAGCAGGAGAGCAACAGCGGCTGGCGGGATTCCACCCTAACCCTGGGGGAATAAAAAGAAATTACTGTCAAATATTAGGAAATTATAAAATATCTATTAAGATGTATAAAGTTATATTGTTTAAATCTATTTTATGATATAGAAAAAACATTTCTAAATTAAGAAAAAGGTCAGAAAATGAATTTTATGGATATATGTTGTATTTACTTAGATAAATGAATCAAATACACAAAAGTATAGTGGATATCACTGAGTGTTATGGCTTGTGTTTTAATATCCCTCAAAACCTCGTGCAATCACAGGTGGGGCTTTTTATGGAATTGATTCATGGTAAAATGCTAGGCTAAGGGCACTAGGATTAAGGGTGAGAGGCAGAAAGAAGATGTTAAGGTCTCCTGTTGCTTTTTCTACCTCGTGGCCACGATGAGCTGTTGTCCTTCTCTGAGATGCCCCTCTGCCACCCTGCCTTGGCCAGCCAATTATGGACTGAAACCTCCACAAACTGTGAGCTAAGTAAACCTTTCCACCCTTTAAATTTGGGGGCCAGGTATTTTGTCTCAGCAATGAGAAAAGTAGCTAAGACACTAGACAGTGAGATTAAGGTGGATTCTATTGTCTTCTCTATCCTTTCCTCACTATCCAAATGTTGAAACACACAAAACAACTCTTCTGTAATAATAGAAAAAGTAGAAAATGGTTCTGCATGAATAAAAATGCTCTTTCCCAAATTTGTGGGCTCATTGGTACTGCGTTCTATCTATCTATTTTGAGACAAAGTAACTTGTATGCAGTTTAGGCTAGTCTTTTAACTTTAATCGTATATCCCAGGGTAGCCTCAAACTTATGGTGATCCTTCTTCCTCAGCCTCCAGAGTGCTGAGATTACAAGTGTGCACTACCATGCCTGGCTTGAGCTCGGTTCTTTTACAGCAGGAGTTTTTATCTTTTCCACTTCTACCTTGTAACTTGTCTCTATATTCTAAAATATATGACATTTTCTTAAAGCTATGTTTCCTTCTTGCTCTCTGGTTGTCTATGCATCATCTATCATTACCCTCCTCACATGACTTTCTAAACAAGTTTGCTCTGTGTTCTCTTTTGTTTGATTGACAGCCCTTGTGGCAATAAATGGCTGCTGGCTGGCTTGCTTAGTAGATATAGTATGTTCCTCACAGAGAGAGCACATACAACCTTTCATTACCAGGCTTCCTTACCTCTACAAATGTAAACTTCTTCATACTGGATTTTGCTTAAATATAGGATCACTTACAAGTGTTTTAGAGAAGCGATGCATTGAAAGACACATTTAGAAATTCCACAGTAAATTTACACAAACCAAGCATATACCTACCTGTACTAAGAAATTCTTTCCTGGCTTGATAGTTCATACTTATTCAAATTAGCATGGAATTTAAATTCAGCCAGATAAATAAATCCTTGTCATCTCTATTGGTGCTATTAAAAGCCATTTCAAAAACAGAAGATACCTGTTGCTCAGAGAAGGAATCCTATCTTCCTAAAGAGATAAGACAAAATACTAGAGTCAACAATGATTTTACTAGAATCTATGCTCACAAATCACTGTTTTTTCTCAAATATTTTTCATTCTATTACTTACTTTTTAAATAACTAGATACCATCCTCATTATTAAAATATTTTCAAAATGGTCAAAATTGAAAGAAAAATAATAAATAGCCCTCTTTATTAACAGGAATATACCTTTCAAAAATTTTCAGACACAGGTGATGGGAACTTTATTTAGACTGTTTCAAAAGTTTGGAAAAATATCTAAAGGAATTGTTTCTTGGAAAATAATAAGATTTTATGTGTCACATAAACTTTTTGCAAATTTGATGAGCTTTGGTCTGGCAGGTGATGAAATCTTTCAGAAAACCTTTATGGGGGTGAGGTATTTGGCTTGTTTTTGTTTCAGTCTAATATGTCCCATTCCTGGAATTGTTAGATAAAGGAAGGAATGGAAGGAACTCAGGGGAGTGGATCGGGCTCTCAGTGACCCCATAGGTCAATCCAGCTTCCAATCAGAGAACATTTTACATTTCTCCACACAGGCAAGAAAAATCAATATTTTAAAAATATTAGTATATGTATTATATATGTATTAGTATATGTATTATGTATTACACTACATAATATATTCATCATGGGGAGTCGGTATATGTACATATCACATTTTAATCATTTGTACTTCCCCTTTTCCTCTCCTCCCCAAATCAATACATTTAATATATGAAGATAAAAGAGTTCTTTATGACTTCTGCGCTTTGACATTTTAATTTTGATATAGCTCTTCTATATATTTCTTTATGAGTTAAGAAATATAACTCTGGCTGTAATTGATAAATCCTGAAATCTGAGTGGCTCAACACAATAAAGAATATTTCCTGATTTTAATACAACTTCATAATCAGTGTTCTTAGCAGACAGCTCTCCTGTACGTAGAGACCTAGTGTTCTAAGATCCTTCCTGCTCATGCTGTTATCAACATGTGCTTCTCACAACTTCTGGGGGGTCGTTATGGTTTGGGTCTAGAGCTTCACGAAGTCATAGGTGGCTGTTTCAGCAGGAGCTGAATCTACAGTGTGTGATGCTGAGACTAAGGGCATGTGGTTACTAAACCAGTACACTGATTGGTTTGGCACTGCCCCCATCTCCATAGTCTGAATAAGATAGAAGGTACAGAAAGACACTGCTAAGGTTCCCTTTTGTTGCTTTTGCTACTGTGTGGCCACTGTTTCTTCTCTGTAACACCCTTCTGCCATGTATCACTCTGCCTTGGAGCCGGCTGATTGTGAATCGAAACCTCTACTAACTGTGCACTAAATAAACCTGTCCTTTAACTGCCCAGCACTTGGAAGGAGGAGGCAGGATTGAGTTCAAGTGCAGTCTGGGCTTCATAGTGAGATCAAGGCCAGCCTGAACTACATAGCAAGATCTTGGGACTCACATGGAGAAATTTGATGGCCAGGTGAACAAGCAGTCTTCACTTTAAGTGACCTTCCCTGGACAGAATCAGGACAAATGACGACCCCTACATTCAAAAATTGCCAGGAAGTGACAACAAATAAACGTTAAAATAAAATTAAGATTATTTACAAGATTAAAAAAATCAGAATATTCTTCAAAAATTGATGGAAGCCATTCTTGACTTCTTCATATTCTACAATCAAATCAATCAGCAAATCATGTCAGATACACTTTCATAATATATATAGGATCTGATTTACCCTTTCCACTTCCAAACCTTCGGTCTTCTTATCCAAAGTCCACTTTTAACAATTGCCATTGTGATCTTTTTTCTTTTCTTTGCAGTTTTGGTGATTGAACCCAATTTTTGTACTGAGCTACAACCCCAGTCCTTTTGGTTTTATTTTGAGATTGGGCCTAACTGTGTTGCTAAGTTGCCCAGGATGAGCTCCAATTTGCAATCTTCTTGACTCAGCCTTCCAAAATATTGGTATTACAGTCCTTTGTCACTACACCCAGCTAGTAACTCTTTTAAACATGCCTCTTTTCAACACATCAAGTCAGTCCTCAAAAGCCTCCAACACCTGTGTGGTTTTCTTATTTCAGAGGAATAGCTAACATGGCCCATGTAACCTGCCCCCACCCTTACCATAGTATAATCCAAACTTCTCTGATTACGTGCCTTACCCCATCCCAACCCTCTGAGTCCTTTTGCTCAGGCTACATAGAATTCCTTGCTGTTGTTGCATATGCCGTGTCTGCTTCCTCCACGGGGCTTTCTTGTCATTGTCCATAGTGTTGCTCAAGAATCAATGAAGCTGACCCTAATCTCTTGGTGTAAAAGAGCAATGTGAAATCTTCAGCCATTTTCCCTATTTCTCTCCATAATGTTTGTATCATGTGACATATACTTGTTAAACTCAACATTGCCTATCTTCTGCTGTCATAATGATGGCAGGGATTTTAGATTCGCCAGAAAAGCATTTGGCATATAGAAGGTGCTTAATAAACATATGAAAAATAGGACTTGTTCATAAGATGAGATATAATACACTGACTACTCAGGAAGATGAGATAGAAACCCAAAGGAGAAAATAAAACCAGGATGTCTTTCTGTGTCTCAGAGGAAGTGTTGGGAATACTAATTTCTAAAGAGGTAGAAGTTGTTTTTCTTACCCAGTGGATTTCTGAAATCATAGGAAAAGGAAGTTTCTCGTGACAACATGTATTGTCACATTTATCAACTGTTTTTATGGTTTAAGGATTCCCTGAAATGTACTAGTCTGCACATCTCCAAGGCTAAAAGAAGTTTTTTTTTTGGGGGGGGGCTTTAAAAAGTGATGTTGTCTTTTGCAATTAATTGGTCAATTTAGACTGCCATAGCAAAACACCACAGACTTCACAGTTTAAATATCTCTTTCCCATTTCCTACCTTGAGGATATGAGTATAATTGGTCCCTGGGCCACAGTTTCTTCCTCTCTTGTCTAGATTGAACCTTCTCAAGTGAGCAGACAGGAGGAATTAGAAGGATTCTCTTGGCTACTCTTATATTCTTTTGCTGTTTGACACTAATTCTTTGCAGCCCTGACTTCATATGGGCAATGCTCTCTCAATGGGATGTGCTCAAACTTGGGATTTTTAGAGACCCATGTGTGAGTTATTTCAAGAGCCTTTCTAATGCACGTGATTGTGCTTTTCTTCCAAACCTACTCAGCTCTTGCATTTACTAGTATACTCATGGGCTCTTGCTACTGTTTGCTTTTTGTTACTGTTTTTCACTCACTGCTTAAATTTTTGCATCAGTGTAAGTGTGATGGCCCAAGCCTAGCTATTTTTTATGGTGCCCACTTGGCCTACTGGAAACTCACATGTTCTCACCAAAGCAGAAGTGATAGCTGAGCTACACTCCAGGCCTCTCTGATTAATCTGCCATCATTCTCCACTTCTATTTTCTTATTCACATAGACTTTGAGAAAATCAACTAGCGAGTGTGCTAATTTGATGTACAACTACAAAATGAGACATGTGACAGTTAAGCCTAATTGTCAGTTTGATTGACTTCACAGCTGCCTAAGGGACCAGCAAAGCATGCATCTGGATGTGTCTAGGTCAGACATGGTGGCATGATCCTGAGTAATGTACAGTATCTGGTCACTGGGCCCTTCCTCTCTGATGTTCTTGCCTGCTCTGCTTCCCGCCATGAACTGAGCAGCTTTTCTCTGCCATGCCCTTTCGCCATGATGTTCCTGCCTAGGAGCAGCAAATCATGGACTGAAACATCTGAGATCAGAAGCCAAATAAACCATTTCATCCTTTAAGTTGTGGGTGCCAGGCATTTGGTCCCAGCAACAGAAAGGATGAGTAATATAAGGTGCTAGTTTTCCATTTTGCAGATACCCCCAGACATCACAGGTGACCCCCTCAGAGCCCTACTTACTTAGACTTTTTGGAGAAGGGTGGGAGAAAGCCCCAGCAGTACTCCCAAGCCAACAAATAGTGACCCCAATAATTCC